GATGGGCTGCATAACTATCTCTTGTTTGTAGCTTATAATTTGACTTCCAAGTGTTTGTTAAAGCTCCACATAAAATATTACTTCTTAGGCTGAAATATTAAAGCTTTATTTTTGTAAATTTGGGAGAGCAGTTCTTTTACCACAAGGGTTCTTTTTATGCCCTTGTGTTTCCCATTTTCTATTTGGGTAGGAAATTGTTTAATGTGCAGAAAACAGATTCGGGGTTAACATGATAAGTGGACCAAGAGGACTGAAAGAGTTGTTGCTCTTACTAATGCCCACTAATGAAAGGGAAGCTGACATAGATAGATAACATGGAAAGTGTATAGCAGATACAAGTTCTGGAGGTTCTAAATTTTGCAAATTAAATGTAACAAAGTAAATAAAGTTAACAATCTGACTGGGCAGACACGTATCAGATTAAATGCAATTAATGATAATGATAACTGAAAAAGAACATGAGAAGGACATAATAAAAATGTAGGATGTCTTATAAAATCTGTGCAATTAAAAATCAAATATGTGAAGCAGGCAGTGCATTAGTCAGATTATCCTTAAAATATTATGTATAAACAAAGTTCCCACATTATAGAAAGCACTTATGCGCCTGAAAAGAGTTCAGAATATAATGATCAGAATAATGTCTGGTCTCAAGGACATGGCACACACGGACAGGTTAAAGAATCATTAACAGTGAGCCTTGAACAACACAAGTCCTGTGTGTAACTGCCAAAGTCAAATCAACAGACTGCTTCAGGCTCAGTGAAGCAAGAGGCAAGGACACAAACCAAAATCAAGAGCTGTGCTTTGATTATGTGCAAGCTTTAACACTGCCGCAGTTATACAGTATTGTATATGCTGAATTCATAAGAGCTGATGGAGAAGGAAGGTGCCTGTTAAAAACATATTTTTGCAGAAAATTACTGTAGCTGTGGTTGAAGATGGATGAATAGTACTAAATGTTTGTGTATACAGTAGACAATCAATGTCACACAGATTCAAAATAGAGACCTAAGAGATGATGCATTTTATATGAAACCAAAAGATACTTACAGTACAAACAGTCACGAGTACACCAAAATGTTACAGATGAAATGAGAAATGAGCTCATTTGGACCATCTTGGTTATTTGGTAGCAAGCATCTGATAAATCTGAGAATGGCAACTGTTTGATCGATCCCAGATATGATTCAATCATTTGTATTGGTAACTTGTAGGCTCTTTCTTTTCATTTCTACACAGCATACCCTCTTACTTCCCAGCAGCATCCTTGTGTTGTGCCTACAACATGGTCCTGATGAACAGTAATCCTCTGGGTAGTCTTGTCAATGTCTTTTAAATGGTGTCGGGAACAAAACCACACAGTCTTTTTGTTAACACTGACACTTTTAAGAAACTGCTTGATGAGAGCTAAATCACTAAATTGCAGTATGGCAAAATGTACAGTACATACCTAAAGTAGCTATATGCTTTCACCTAGGTTAATTGCAAATGTCACTTAATTACAGACTTTTCACTCTTGTTCTCTAATGTTCATTAGCTGTGCCTTGCACCACATTAGCATATGAATTACTGTGTAAGGACAGAAAAACACTACATGTTTACTGAAAACTTGTAACTAATGACCAATAAATGACTTTGATTATCTAGTCTTCAGAGTTTATTCTAAAAATAATCTCTACTGTCAGTCCAAAGCCCAGACCTCTTGAAATGCATTGCGCCTGCTGAAAACTATTGTACTGTATTTAACAGAGCCAAACAAAGGAACATGCATAAAGAGTATCACTTTAAATGTGTTTTTTAAGCCAGTAAAACACTTGTAATATTTATACTGTATATGGTTCACATTGTTAGTTGTGTTCCTGTGTCAAAATCTGTCTGTCACTTAGGAGCTTACTCATTAACTGAATGACAGAGACTAATGTTTGGATGTGATTAAACTGTACGATCTTTGTGTGGTGTAATTGCTTCTAATGACCTGAAGTGTCACTGCTCCTGGTTATGTTGGTACAATTGTGTGTTACTAAGAACTGTGGTATCATTGTTTGGAAGTGCGAACAGGATGTACTTTTTTATACAAGGGGTTGTGGGAATATGAAACAAGCTGCCCAGCAATGTTGTAGAACCTGATGACTTCGTTTAAGATGAGATCAGAAAAAAATAGATATTGAAAAATATTCAAGATAGTCTGAATGGCCTCCTCACATCAGTAAACATGTATTATGTTCTTGGGAAACCTATTACAATGAGCATGCATTTTTTTTCACTTTGACTTCTCTTATACTTGTAACTTCTATTATAGTCTAAGGTCACACTGTTGGCCACATCAGTTCAAAGAACTGTGAAAAGCATTTACTGTAGCTCTGCAGCAAAGGATCTTTCTTTTGTGAATGGCATAGCATTTTAGAAATTGTATGATTTAAACTGTTTTGATTTTGATTAATCTTTCCAGTGTTTGCAAAAGAGTGAAAAAGTACTACTGTACCCAATTAGCTATGCTACAGTATGAATGAAGCCATGTGCATAATTGTTTTGAATAAAACAAAGTAAAAACCATTGAATACTAAATTACAAATGGTCTGGATGGACTGAATGGCTTCCTCTCATTTGTAACCATTTTAATCATTTGCATCTGCAGATGTTTTGTAGATTAACAGGTAGATTAGAACTCTCATTATAATTTCAGCTGCTCTTTTTTGATTAATTTGGTAGTTCTGTACATTTAAAAAATATTATTCAAACATATACTTACAGTATTAGTGTAGTCTCAATTTACTATACATTGAGATATATCTTAACATCAGCAGTGAAGTAAGTAACTAAAGCTCTCAGTGAGTAATCTGTTTCCCGACGAAATTCATTAAAGCATTTTTTCACCTAGCAAAACCTTGGTGTATTAATCTCATAGCAGCGAATTATTTAAACAATCTAAATATTTAACTTCTTTAATCAGTCTTTCAATAGAAATTGCTGCAGATGCCTGTCACATGCTGTGGATGATTGCAGATACCTTATACTGCATATGAATGACTAGTTACAAATCTCCCCTTTG